TCACACATATGTTTAGGGGCTCTAACTCAACATAGTCAGCATTTTTTGCACAATGTTTCTAATATGCAGGAACCAAGAAATTATGAAGAAGCAAAGTCAGATCCAGCATGGCAACAAGCTATGGCACTTGAATTTCAAGCACTGGAGACAACAGGTACTTGGGAATTCTGTGAATTACCAAAAGGGAAGAAGCCTATTAGTAGTAAATGGGTTTATAAACTTAAGTTCAAATCTGATGGGTCTCTTGAAAGACACAAAGCAAGACTGGTAATTCGAGGCTGCACTCAAAAGGCAGGCATAGACTTCCATGAAACTTTCTCACCTGTTGTTAAAATGACTACAGTCAGGGCTTTATTGGCTGTAGCTGTTAAAAATCAATGGCCAATATTTCAGCTTGATGTAAACAATGCTTTCTTACATGGAGATTTGCATGAGGACATATACATGAAACCTCCCTTGGGCATGACTGTTCCTTCTCCTAATCTGGTACTCAAACTTAGAAAGTCCTTATATGGTCTAAAACAAGCATCAAGGCAGTGGTATGCAAAGCTGAGTACAACCTTAAGATCCAGAGGGTACTATTATTCTAAGAATGACTATTCTCTCTTCACAAAGAAAATAGGTTCTTCTGTCATTCATCTTGCAGTTTACGTTGATGACATCATCATCACTGGAAATGATGTCACTGAGATCACAGCTTTAAAGACTTTCTTGAATGATGTTTTCAAAATCAAGGATTTGGGAACACTGGGTTATTTTTTGGGCTTGGAAGCTGTTTATGAAGGCCATAATCTGATCCTCACTCAGCAAAAGTTCACCTTGGACTTACTGAAGACTTTCAATTGTCCTTCTTCCTCTCATGCTATTTGTCCTTTGGCACCTAATCTCCAGCTTCAAATCAATACTGGACCTCCTCTTCAAGATCCCACTCTCTATAGATGTCTTGTGGGAAAGCTTAATTTCTTAACTCACACCAGACCTGACATTGCATACGCAGTTCAGTTTTTAAGCCAGTTCATGCAAGATCCTCGCCTTCCTCATTGGGAAGCTGCTCAACACACTTTGAGATATTTGAGTTCTACACCTTCTCAAGGACTTCTGTTTACTGCCTCTTCTGATTTCAAGTTACAAGCCTATTGTGATTCAGACTGGGCAGCTTGTCCCAATACACGACGCTCTGTGAGTGGTTATTTCATCCTCTTAGGTGGTACTCCTATCTCATGGAAATCTAAGAAACAAGCCACTGTTTCCCTCAGTTCAGTTGAAGCTGAATATCGTTCCATTCGCAGAGTCACTGCTGAATTAGCTTGGCTTTCTCGTCTCTTCTCTGATTTGGGTGTTCCAGACATTACTCCTATTCCAGTTCGTTGTGATAGCAAGGCAGCCATTTATATTGCTAATAATCCTGTGTATCATGAACGTACTAAACACATCGAGTTGGATTGTCATTTTGTACGAGAAAAATTACAGGATGGCCTCATTACACTTCATCATGTTCCCAGCTCTGCCCAAATTGCTGATCTCTTCACTAAGAGTCTTCCCAGTGCTGTGCATAATCATCTTGTTTCCAAGTTGGGGGTTCAAGCTCCCTCCAACTTGAGGGGGGGTGTTGGGAAAGCTTAGCTCAGTTTTACTTCTTGTTAAATTCAGTTTTTCAATTTGTTAAGTTTGTTATTTCTGTTAGTGACGTGGCTTTCTTTCCTCTCTTGTATAAATACTGTGTGTGGACTTAATTCCAAGACAAGTTTTCTTCTCTGCAAATTTGATCATCAATAAAGACTGTTTTTCTTATTTTCCTTCGTTCTTCATTCTTCATCGCCATTTCTGTATCAAATTGTTCAAGGAATTCATCATATCTAAGAATTCCAACACTGCTTGAATTTGTTTGAGGTTTTTGCTCATTTGTGTTCCTATTTGCGGCAGTCATGGAGAACTGGAATTGCGAAAAGATGCATTGTGGCCTTCAGGGTCACAAGGACGATGAAAAGGGTAAAACTTTGTTTCATATTTCCTCTAATGTTTTCTACCACTCGGTATTATTTTGTTTGCGTGGTTGTAATATTGATCACATTTGCCTTAAAGACAGCTATGGCGAAGCAAGTGACCCACCTTATTAATGTTTTTTCCTCTTATTGTTAGGTAATTATTGTTTTGAGCTTATTAATCCAAATGACACAGATGTTAAGACCAAGAGTTTTGTTCAGGTGATCTGCATTTCGTAATCCCCCCTACAATCTTCCTTTACATGGTTGTTTGGTTCAGTGGGAAGTAGTTAAGTTTGATTGAACTAGGAATCGTAAATTGACCTACACATATGAGGACTATTGTAATTTTCAAACTGAAATACGTGTAATGTTAATAAATTGAATCCCTAGAATTGCCTAATGAAGGCATGGAACCAAACACCCCTACATTGATAGCGTTTAATTGTGGTTATTGCTATAGGAAGTGCTAAACATTTATGCTAAGGAACTACCGGCAATGAAGTATGCTGCAAACACTGGAAAGCAATCATTGTTCCTTGATAAATGCGTGTCAAGTGGGTATGTTTGTTGAAGTTCTCCTATTCTTTTAAGGACATCAATCTCATGAATATCACACTTGTCAATCTGTTAACTGTATATAGAGTTATGTCTGTGTTGCAAACGTTGAGTTTATGATCTGGATGCCATCACCTTACCAAGATGCTTACATTTGAGGGTTGGACAATGGTTGGTATTGCAGGAAGTACTACACATTAATTTTGAGATTCAAGAATGGCCTACACTGTGGAGAGGTATGTTTTAGTGTAGTCTAATTGTTATACATCACTCTAGTAGGTTGGTGCTGTTGAAACATCCTAATGTTTTTAAAATTGTATCCTCTTATAGTCTTAGAGAACATCCCTTGACATATAATGCATATATAGTGCAGAAAGATTCAACTTTATTGGATGCTAATTAGTATGCATACCAATAAATGGGAGATGGAAGAGGTTCAGTATTCGAACTAAGAAAAGTTTAAATTTTCTACAACAACAACAATAACAACAACCCAATAGGATCCCACGAACGTAAGGTCTGGGAAGGGTGTGTGCAGCAGACTTTACCCTTACTTAAAGTAGAGAGGCTGTTTCCAAAAAAAACTTCAAATTTTCTAATGTAACATTTTTGTCTGGTTATACATCACTTTGATTTTGCTCATAATTGGACAGGCTGTTGCAGCAACTACCTATCAAATAATCTCTGCTGACACACTGTATACCGAGATTCCTCTTGCAGCTGTTAGATCCCAATACCAACATAAGGTTTGATGTTAATTTAACCAATAATTATAATTTTTAACAAAATTTTCTCCTCTACCTGTATTTGATTCTTTCCATTAAGGTATGCATTCACTATGAATGTTTTTTTGGTGTCCATTCCACAGTCGCATTTATTAAACAATAAACAACAACACATAGAGAGTATTACTCTTTTATTTCATATGGTCACGAATAGCATCTTAGATTTATCTTCTGCGTCTGGCAGTAATTGACTAGATCAGGTGTTCTTGCAGGGGATAGGCCACTTATTATACATGGAACTGAAAAGGAGATTGCAGAATGTGGGCATAAGGACAGTGCTTTGTTGGGGAGATAACGAGTCTGAAGGATTTTGGCTTAAACAGGTATACTTAAATAGTGGTAATATATGTGATTGAAACAATTTATTCATCTACTGCTAGTGGCTTGAGTTCATTATATATTCCTCTGTGGTTTATCGAACGAGTAAAACAGTCATAACACACAAACTTTGTTTCGTATAGAAGTACAATGCTTTTTGCTTTAATTCTCAACATCTTTCATTCATCAGTTCCTACGGCTATGCTTGCACTCTGGAAAATGGCAGCGAAAAGACAATTTTGTAGGAAAATGCTACTTTCAATGTTTGGTTGCTCGTTGAAAAAAATAGAAAGGAAAATTAGATTTGATTAGTCTCTATATAATTAAAATTAATGGTTTATTGGGGTGAGATTGCATACATCTTGACCCAGACACCAAGAGAATTGAGACTATACTAGGTTTGTTGTTGTTTATGTAATTGAAGTGTAAAGATAAATGAGTTTACAGTTCAGACATATCTAAAATTGATGTAATGAGTTTGGATTAATTTTATTTTCACCCAAATTTCCTCTAATTACTATTAATTTTCTTTCCCTAACATTAACCGAGTTCCAGACGTATCCTGAACATACATGCCAATATATGCAGGGGTTCACAGTAATTGGTCAGGTAGATGCGAGAGGCAAAGCTCGCAAGCTTCCTATAAACCCCAATGTTCGCAGAGTGTTGTGTTTTCCTGGTGGCTCATCTCTCATGGTCTCTTATCTTAACAATGAAAGTCCAACAAATTCACCAAAGCATTTTGCACTAAATCTGCCCGAGAAGAATCGTCCATCTTTGATATCTCAGAAACAAGATAAGCATGTAGATATGTACTGCTCTTCTAAGGAAGTGGTAAATCAAAATATCAAAACAGACATCGCTCATCATTGTGGTACGTGAACAAGTATAAGTTCTTCTCTACCTGTACTTCATTTTAAAGGATAGTTAAGATTACATATTTATCAAAAGGTTATTAACTGATATATTAAAGATTTAATTTTTGTAATTATCTTTCCTGTTGTGGAGAAGTATCTTGCCAACCTTAACCCTTAATATTAGTCTACTTAGTTCCCTTGTGTGACACAAATTCTTGTGTTATCTGCTCTATTTGTGAGTCCTTCTCGGTAAGACCCTAAAACAAACACAAATTTCAAGACTAGTCTGCGCCGAAGAGTCATCATTGCATGAAATATTAAGGGTTACCTTTACAGGATATGCATCCACGGGATAACGATAATTGCAAATATTAAATCCTTATTCTATCATTAACACCAGTTTAATCCTCCTACAATCTATTGAGTGCTTTCTACTAAATGACTGAATTGTTTCTTTTAGAGTTATGTCTACGTATCAACGCTACTTTACTAACATGTTCACTTTTGAATTTAAATTGTCAAGATGCAGACATGATGGAAACTGTAAATGACAGCTATGACGAAGGAGCAAATGAATCTGAACATGAGAATAATCTGAAACAATGGTCATGCTCACCACCAAGAACAAATAAAAGGACATGGGAAGCCTCATTTACCTCTTTGAACTCAAAAAAAGTGAAGGGGAGCTATCAAACTGATTGCCACTTACATTCTAACAGCTTTCTTTTAGAAAGCAACGAAAATGCAACCAGGCATAAAAACGCGGATTCCTTGGCAGTGTCTCAGAATGCATTTAAAGTGAAAGATTGTCCTAAAGATCCGCTGAAGAGCAGCTCCAAGCATTATTATGAAGTGACATCCAAAAGTTATAGCAGCCAAGGAGTTCTTCCTTTGGAAAATAATTACCAAATTATACTGATGAATATAGCTGATGACAATAAGAAAGCTAATCTAACTAAGGTATTCTTCATCTTCTCCATTTTAAGGTTCAAATAATATTTTTGCATCATGTTACCCCTTCCCCTCAAATTATGTATGCCTATAAATTTAGCAGTTGACTGGTATATACCAAGTTATTTGCTCTGGAGGGGTGGTGTTTGGTTTATTTTTAAAGGAACTTTTCTCAGTGCTAGGAAAATTACCAAAAACAAGCACAATATGGAGGGAAAATGTTACCGAAAAATAAGGATCAACACAAAAAATTTACATGGAAACCCCTCCCAGCTATGGGAAAGAACTACGATACGCTCTGAATAAACTTTCCACTATAATATCAATTGCAATACAACAAGGCAACAAGATTACAACAATTTATATTCTACACTAAGAATTTCCTAGACACAAGAAATTCTCACATCTCTACTCAACACTATCTTGGCTCTTTTTCTCTTGCAGCCTCTCAAAAAAGAGAGCAAAGGATTAAATAACCATTAAACTATTATAGAGAAGAGCTCCAACACTAGGAAGGAGAAGTCCACAAAGTTAGGCTAATCATTCTTTCCCCAATAACACTTTCAGCAATCATACAAAGCCACTCACAAAAGTCACAAGACCCACTCACGCACATCACATACTTTTTTTCCCTTCTACTTCTTCTCCCATTTGTGTGCGCACATCACACACATGCATCTTTATTTATTTATTTTAGTTTCATTTCTCACATCAAAAATAAAATAAACTCTAACTTAATTATTACGGAGTATTTGGTAATTGGGGAGATACCCAACATTCAATTAATAGGGAGTATTCTTGCTGTTGTTTCTCAGGTGTTTATTTATTAGTATTAATCAATTATGCTTATGCAGATTATTGAAAACCTTGGTGGAGATGTAACTTCTGATGGAAGTAGATGTACACATGTTGTCACGGGGAAAGTGAGGAAAACGTTGAATGTTTGCAAAGCTTTATGTTCAGGGTCAGTATCTCCTACAAACTTTTGCTTCATTAAATCTCAGACAAAGTGCCCTTCAATTAAAAAGTGAAACTAGTAGTATACTCTGTATATTGTTTTCTGTAGATTTTGCTTCTTGATTAATATTAGTCAGTGACTTTGATCTTGATATAAACAAGTTTTGCTACCCAGGTCTTGGATAATTTCACCTAGTTGGTTGAAAGAAAGCTATCGGAATGGCAGATTTGTCGGTAGGCCACGCCCCACATGAACTAAAATTGATATGTTATTCTACTCTTTAAGAAGTGTACTGATACAGGATCTCTTTTGTAACTGTAATTGGCTTTTTCTACTTATTTGGCTTGTCAGCAGAATAATAAGAGCAATAAAATGTATTTTCTTTACTTATTTTGGTTGAAATGAATGTAACAAAAGGCTTTTCTCTATAAGAAACTTCAGCCAAATTTTCCTTACCAAACTAATCTCCATGTTTTCCAGATGAAATGCCTTTCATATTGAAAGACCAAGACTATGAAACGAAGTACACAAGTGAACTAAAAGAAGCAGTTCTTAGTGCAAGGGCGCACCCCAGCAGTTTGCTTAGTGGGTATGACATATGCCTGGCGGCTCATGTTCAACCTCCAGCCAGTATGTTGTCTGCCATTGTAGAATCTGCAGGAGGAAACGTAAGTCAAATTTTCAAGAAGCTCTTCTGCCTAGCCCCAGTCAGTTCCCAGATATTCTGTTTGACAAAGTTAAAATAAAACTTCAGGTTGTAATTGGGGGAATGGAGAAGGTGAAAGACAAGGACAAGAGCATATTTGTGGCGTGTGAAGAGGACACCGACGAAGCACTGTTAGCAGCCGAGAAAGGGATACGCTGTTTCAGCAGCGAGTGGTTCATGAACTGCATCATGAAACAGCAGCTTGATCTTGGAGCCTCTCAATTTGCAGTGAGCCTCTGATTCTCTATGTGTATCCATCCCATGTTACAGATTATGTATGTGTATATAATTCGTCTCGATAAAATTAGTTTGCACTTCTGGTTTTGCTTGCAGAATTGACATCTGATCACTACTAAAAAAAATTAATACTCAGTTTTTTAGAGTTCCTCTTTCTTAATCATTCTTATTCCCTTTAAGCTTCTTCTAAACGAAAAGAGTCTCAAGTCTCATTCTGTTTCAGATACAATAGAACTCTAATTTTGATCTCTCCAAATAAAGTAGCTGCCCAACCTGCCAAAGCTAACTATCTGTGCTTTTTGAGAGAGATATTATTCAGTAGTGTTCCCACAGAATCACAGATAGTTCCTACACTAATTCTGAATCTTCTTCATCACTGCACTAGGAAGTAGAAATATTCTTGCCCAGAGAGTAGTAAGATCCCCATCTGAACAGAGTTTTTTACTTTGACAGGGGAGTCCTTGAACTTGGATTAAGAAAATATAGTGTTCGTTATAGCTGGAGATTACGTACGAGTAACATTTTGAGCGTTCACGACGTAATTGAAAATGTGATTCTTCAAATAATACTTTGCCATCCCAAAATAAGGTTCCTACTCGATTTATGATGTTTGACTGAGATTATTTTTAAATCAATATAAGTAAAAATTGGCGTAGAATTAAAATAATAAAATTATAGAGTATTTATTTAAAAACGACAATAAAAGTTTTACTCCCTTCGTCCTAATTTAAATCACTTATTTCGGTTTACGATGTTTGATTAAAGTGATTTTCAATATAATTTATTTGAAAATTGGAGCGGACTCAAAAATAAAATTTACATATTAAAAAATTACATTAAAAGTTCTATAAAACAAAATGTGACACGATTATATTATTTTATCAATTGAGTAACAAAAATAAAGAAAAAAAGTGAATAAAATTTGATAAGGTTGATAGTAAACATGGAATTTAATTTAAGGCGAAGGGAGTACAATACAAGTAGTGAAAAATTATTTTATTTTATTCAATGGTCTATAAAAATGTGTAACTAAAGTATAGTAAATTTGACATATGAATAACAGCTACTTCGTAGAAGCTTGGAAAATATTTTTGAATAATGAAATGTAAAACTCACATCTCTTATCTATTCTCTAACTAAATTCTACTCTACATATTTTTTTTTAGAGAAATTTACCTAAATAGAACTAAAACATAATGACTTTCCTAATATAAGACCATATATTTTTATTTCCCAATGTAGGATTTTTGGTCATTATCAAGTAGTCATTATTCAAGTAAATGTCCATCATTACTGGACATTATTCCTCCCACTAGGTTATTAATAAGTCCTATTTAAGAAATAAAAAAGTTTAAGTCCTATGTTTTAGTCCTAGTTAGAACAAATTTTACATTGTTTTAACTATATCGGTTCAATTCAAAGTTTTTAACGAGACAGGAGGAGATACCTTTAGATCGCCTAGTAAAATTACCAATCAAGGCAATCATTCACTTTTTTCTGGGCTCAGAATAAAATCTGCTCAATGCTACGTCGTTTCACTCCCCTGGCTATTCTATTCACGTTCACCGGATTCATCTTCGCCGTCCGTTCACAAGAGTTCAGACCTAACCTCCATCGATCCCGGCGGGAAATCACGGCGGCGCGCCCCGAACGTATAGGTTCCATACAAGTGCCGCCGGGCTTTCCGTTCAAGATCGCGTTGTTTGCGGACCTGCATTTCGGAGAGAACTCATGGACCGCGTGGGGCCCGCAGCAGGATATAAAATCAGTTGGGGTGATGTCTACCGTTCTCGATCAAGAACACCCAGGTGCCTTGCGCATCAGTCTCTCATTTATTCTATTTTCTGTTTATTTATTTCATATCATTAGTATATCGACTAATTTTAAAAACAAAAATGCTAGAGTACATTTTTAAAAAATTACTCGAGTATATTTTTAAAAAAAGTGTAAATTTCCAAAATTGTCCTACTAATTATTTTGTTAGGAGTAAAAAAGCCTAAGAACACAAAATAAGAGTCCTAAGTGTTAAACTAAAACAATACTCGTATTATAATAGCAGTGTGGTGTAAGAGTACGTGTTAGCATTGTGATAGAAAAATGACAACAGTGTCAGTGTGATATTTCAACCATCGACAATCCACAGCGGAACTCTGATGGCCGGTAGCAACGGATGGCAGTGTGGTAGTTACAATGTGATAATATAGTTAGTTTGACAGTGTAAAAATTGCAGTGTGAACTCCTATTTTGGTCTTAAAAGACTCATGACTCCTATTTTTGGTATTTTCATAGTTTTTTACTCCTATCAAGGGAGTTATCCCTTTTAAAAATAGATTTTTCATACTCGTTCTAGATTACTTATGTCTTATCTGATTGAAATATTTTGGTATACCCCAAAATAGCTTCAACGTAAAAGTGTTTGCACGCGTTTCGCTAAGTCTATCAAGACGTTATTCACGTTATTCGTATACCGAATTTCTAACGTTGCTTCGCACCGTTATTGGGTTATTTTCCCTTCCAAGTTTTCCAACATTTTTTACTCGCAATAAAGATCCTAGAATTCTGTTTAATACTCCGTACTCAAAATTGTTTGAGTATAAACATGTCGTGAGTTTACAACCACCGGCTTGAGCTTTTGGTTGAGTTTGTTCCTTGACATGATATTGAAAACTTTTTTGATCAAAGGTCACGAGTTTGAACCTCACCGTCACCTAATTTTTAAAAATTAATTTTCACGTGCATGACTCGAGCAAAAAAAATTTGCACTTGAGATGGTGTGTTAGAGTATAAAACCGCCTACAACCATAGACTTGAGTTTTTGGATGAGTTGGTTCTTTAACAAAGATGTCTAGCAAACTCATTCACTAAAAGCCTCTAATTGGTTGGTAGACTTTTGTTTATGAGAACAAAACCTCTAAGATCTATTGTCTCATATGAAGTACGATTTGTCCCATCATGACAATGAATTATTTGAAATATTCCCAAGTGTCTTTTTGTTTAGAAGAGTAGAAGACATTTCTCCCAGCCTATAAAATCTAGATACACCATTTATCTCCTTAGAATTCCACCACTAAATATTTGTTTGGGTTTTGAATCCCATCTGTGTTGAAATACTTTGAAGTAAATGCTTAATGGACTTAATCAAGGCAAGTTCGTATACTGCCATAATATCATAGCCATTAGAGGTGATGATTTAAGCAACTGAAAAGAGACTAAATTTTATGATAAGGCATTGTCACTAGATTACATAGATCCTTTTATCAAAATAAAAATACAAATATCCTTGTATAGAAATGAGATCATATGAAATGTTGCAACAAAATGAGAATCTTGAAATTGTTTGAAAAGGTGTACACGAAAGAGTGATTGGCAAAAAACAGAGTGATTCAGTCCAAAGTGAAAATATATTCTATTTGATAAAATAAAATTTGAGCCCATAGTGCTCTTTGATACCTCTATTAACATATGTTTTTGCAGACTTTGTGATTTATCTTGGGGATGTCATCACGGCAAACAATATACCCACTAAAAATGCTAGCTTGTACTGGGAGCAAGCAATCTCTCCTACAAGAGCCAGAAGAATTCCATGGGCTAGTGTTTTTGGTAACCATGATGATATGCCATTTGTGTGGCCATTGGAATGGTTTTCAACTTCTGGAGTCCCTCCCGTCCAATGCCCACAGAATATTTCATACCCTGGTAAGTCCATCTTCAATGATAAAGCTGCTGATGTTCCATCATAGTCTTCTCGTTTTTTTTCGTTTTTGACAATTTGCTGGTTTAATGGTTTTCGATAATCATTTGTGACTGACAAGGAGGTGGTTGGCACTTGGCAGTTTTTCTTCTCTGAGTTAAAATATAAGTAGAAAGTATTGGGTTACATATTCCGACAAAAATATTTTCCAATGAGAAAAGTAATTGGAAAATGACTTTCGCGTTTAAGCTAGAAAGTCATTCTCCACAAAAGATCCAGTAATCTTGAATAATATTTTCCTTTCTATTCTTAGCACAAGAAAATGATTCTATGTACGAAATGAATGAAAATCAAGAAAACATTTTGATTGTTGGTTCCATTAAAGGGGAAAAGAGTTGAATGGTTCTGAAATAGAGTAGATATTGGTAAAGGACTCAACTGCACTTTTTCCTAGAATATGATCTTGGATGTTTTTGTTTCTTCCTCTACTGGACAGAGATTAGTTGTCCATGGTAAATATTTTCCTTGGAAAATAACTTTCCCGTTTAAAGAGGGAAGCCATTTTCCACTAAACTTCAAATAATTATAGAAAATATTTTCCTTTTGGGTTTTAAGCACAGGAAAAACTTTGCATTGACGTGCAAAATGCGTGAATATCTGTAACATTTTCCATGATAGAGTAATATTTTGATCAAAACAAATGGAGCCTTAAAAGGAAACTTAAACCTTTTAAACTCAGGTTGGCTTCTATTTTAGGATACAAAGATTGCAGCTTCAGGGGAACAACGCGCTTGGAGCTGATGAAATATGAAGTGGATCACAACACATTATCACACTCTAAATGCGGTCCGGGGGTTTTATGGCCCAGTGTTTCCAACTATGTCCTTAGAATTTCATTGACAAGTGACCCTGACACTGCTGTAGCATATATGTACTTCCTAGATTCTGGGGGTGGCTCATACCCTGAGGTTATCTCAAATGCACAAGTGGAATGGTTCAACCGCACGGTTCAAGAACATAATCCTGATGCAAGGTATTAAAACCAAGATTTTACCGCAGCATATTTTTTTGCACAATTTGTGCATTGATTGATATGAATGTGAACATATGATGGATGACCTGTGAAAATTTCATGTTGGCGGTTTATGTAGCATACCTCAGTGAATTGGGATTAAAGCTAGGTTATTGTTATTGTTGTTGTCATTTACATAGTTTCTGTAAATTGTTAACTCAATATTAATTATTGTAAATAAAGTGAAAAGCACTATGACAGGGTGCCTGAGTTAATGTTTTGGCATATACCTAGTCAAGACTATCATCATGCGGCTGCAGATCTTTCTCAACACAAGACATGCGTGGGTTCAATGTTTGCAGAGAAAGTTGCTGCTCAGGAAGCTGAAATGGGTATTATGGATCTCCTTGAGAGAAGATCATCTGTGATGGTAAGAACTCTTGAATAACCTGATGGTCTATTCTATACTTCTGTTTCGGAGATCCTCCTGACTTAACAATCGTCAGCTCCTCCCTTTCTGTTTGAAGGGAAAGAGCTTTTTTTTACTGTCAAAATGCTCTGCTCTTTTATGTGTCTGGAAACTTAGTATTTTCGATTAGCAATATGCTTTCTAAAATGCTAGTTCCAAAGTACTCAAAGGAAGAGGATTTTGCATTAATAGAGGTATATATTGTCCAGCCAGTCTGCCACTTGTCTTTTTTTGCAGGCTTTGTTTGTTGGTCACAACCATGGACTGGACTGGTGCTGCCCCTACAAGAAGTTGTGGCTGTGCTACGCGCGCCATACCGGGTATGGCGGGTATGGGAGCTGGGCTAGAGGGGCCCGGATTCTGGAGATAACTCAGCACCCTTTCGCCCTAAAATCTTGGATTCGAATGGAAAATGGAACTGTACATAGTGAGGTCATCTTGAGCAGCTCTTGATTTGTCCCCTCTCTTCCTCTTCTGTTTCAGTCACAATAGAAGGGGACAATGTACATTAAAAAAGTGTATCAAACAATTTAAACCAGCAATGTTTCACTGTCTTTAAAAATCTTCATTCTTAAACTCTTTTGAGAAATTGTGTTGTTTGAGTGGAACTGTATGAGGAAAAAATGGAGAGAATTATTAGAAGAGAAAAGCAATCTTTCTTTCGCATTGGAGAACAGAAACAAAAGAGTGTTATGCTGTGTTTGTTGTTGTTAAACAAATGCATAAAAAAAAACTTTGGTCATTAATTGGGGGGTAAAAGTTCCATCTCTCTGGGCACAACAGTAGGTCAAAAGGGCATTCAAACATCCCAAAATTGAAAAACATCTTTGAACTTGGGTTGTGTTCAAAAGAGCTTAACCATGTCCCATTCATAGGGGTGATTTTAGTTGCAGCATTTCATTCTTCAGCCTCTCAGCCATTTCTTTGTTCCCTTGTCTCAAGAATCCATCAATGAAAGTGTTATATATCTCCTTATTAGCTTCATACCCTTTCCCCACCATCTCCACCTGAACTCTGAGAGCTTCTTCCATCTCCCCTTCGCGACACAAAGCATTTATAAGCGTTTCATATGTCTTCTCCATCGGAACCACCCCGTGCTTCTTTACCAAGCTTCTAACGAACTCGAGCGCCTCAGAGACTCTACCTTTATTGCAGAACACCCTAACCAGTGCATTCACCGTTTCGCCCTCGGGCTTGGCTCCGTTCCTACACAAATCTTGGTACAAGAGGAGGGCTGATTCGAGATTCTCCATCTTACAGTGGCCAATGATCAGGTGTTCAAGAGTGGTGCACGTGGTTTCCACACCGCTCATCACCATCTCTCTGAAAATTTCTTCGGCCCTCTCAATCTTTCCGGCCCCACACAACCCTCCGATGACAGTGTTGTAAGACACTGGGTCCCGCTCCACGCCCCTTTCGCCAGTCTCTTCCCATATTCTCATCGCGCCCTCCACCCTCCCGTCATCGATCAATGCTGACATCATCACGCTGTAACTGTACGCATTCGGATCACAATTCATGGCCACCATTTCACTCCAAACTTCCTCCACCTTATCCACCAGACCCTCCCTGTGAAACCCAACCATTAACACATTGTATGTATGAGCATTGGGAGCGACCCGTTTAGCGCCCTTGACATTTTCGTCCCTGCAAATAAAGATCTCCCTGTACATATCATACCCAGCAAAGCACCCGCGGGTTTTGGAAACAAGCTTGATCAGAGAATTGCAGGTGGAGACATCTGGGTAAAGATTCTTGGACTTCAAGATCCTCAGGAGCTCAACAGACTGATCCGTTCTTTTCGAATCCAAGCAAGCGTCGATCAGAAGATCGAACACAAACGGAGCAGAATCACACTGTCTGTAACTTCTCACCAGAGCTTTGAAAATGGGAGGAGGGTCCGAGGAATGTTGGCCGGGGAACTTGCAAATTGCAGACTTTTTTAGGGCAGAAGCTTGGGGCTTGAGGCGGGAGCGAGAGAGGACGTGAATAATGGTGGCGTAAGAAGAAATGGAATGAGAACAGAGGGAGTGGCGGATGGTGAAGAGGAAGAAGGTGTGGGCGAGACGGGGTTTGTTGCGGACTTGAAGTATGATCTCTGAGGCCTGAGAAGGGGTGAAGCCAGTGTAGGGTTTGGGGAGAGATCGGAGGTGACTCCACCGGGACTTTGATCGGTGGTGCTTGAGGATTGAGACGGCCAACGAGACCAGGTTCTGGTCCGGCGGCGAGGTAGAAGAAGAGAATGGGAAAAACGATTGCCGGATTGGGTGGGGCGCTGGGAAGAGGAGAGTGCGAATTGAAAACAGAGACATCCAATCATCTACCTTCTTCAAGCTCTGTAAGATCTTACTGGTTCAGGAAATTTATCGAACACCTGATGTTCGTGGAGTAGGTATATGGACTCTAGTTATAAGAAGCTAATAGGTTCCAAAAAAATGTACTCCGTAAGAACGTTGATTTCTGCAGAATACAATACACATTTTCATAAAATAAACATATTGTCATACTCTTTATTATAATTTTTTTTAATTTACGAATAACATAGTTTTAAATTACGTAATACAGTACTATCACCACCACCAACTCTATCCTGAAGGAGACACCCGCTGGCGTCGTGCCCTTTATTCCCTCGTTGCCGCACCTTGGGTTCCGCCACTCCTCGGTGCATTGTTGCGACAATCCAACACCTAGGGTTCCGATTGTCGATCGCCTCCTCTTCCCTCGCGATTGAGCTCAGACGCACGGTGGTACCTATGGTTTCGATTAACGATTGTTGATCGCCTCCTCTTCATCGACAATTGACGCAATGCCGTGCTCTCCTTCTTCTCGATCGCCCGTTTCAGCACCAGCCGTACCCAAAAATTGGTATAGCCGGGTGTACAATACTATGATTTCAGTGACTTGAACCACAAGTGTGCATTTATAACAAAAAGAGACTATTTTCTTAATTACACTATACTTTTTTACTTTTTATTTGAATGGACATAATTGCATTGTACGTAATATTTTTTTAGCACACTCAAATCATTGTATCTCACTATCACATTCTTAGCTCAAGAACTTTACCCATGTATTTGGATGGTGAGAAAATAGAGAGAGGAAGTTAGGTGAGAAAATACAGAAACTAATACAAATTCATTTTTTGGATATAAGAGAAAATAGATGGAGGAAAGAAAATGAAGGACGAGACCACATGAAAACTTTTCTCACCATAGATGATAAGAAAATAGATGGAGACCTACCTCTTTTTTTCTTTTCAATTTTTATCTTTTCGGTCTTTCTTCTTATTTTCTTATCATTTTCTAATCATCTAAATACTAACTATTTTCTTTCCATTTTTTCTCCATTTTTTCTTTTCATCATTTTCTTTTCTATCATTTGCGTCTAGTCCTAACGAAAATGACTTAGTATATACGGAGCATGCATTTTTTCTCCATTTTTTCTTTTCATCATTTTCTTTTCTATCATTTGCGTCTAGTCCTAACGAAAATGACTTAGTATATACGGAGCATACTACAAAATGATGGAGAGAGTATATTTTTTTATAAATAATTTATAATTCATTCGTTTCAATATAACGATAGTCAAAATAGGAATGACTTTTTCAAATGTTTGTATGAGAAAACACCTAGAATTTTTTATCTATTTCTTCAAATGCTTTTTTTCTCTATTTCTAGTTTTTTTCAAAGTTGTATTTTCTCTCTCCCGCTTTTATTTCTTACTCTAGAGGAACAAAATAACAATTTTTAAATTTTTTTAAATGACACGGTGGCAGTGACACTGATACTATTTGCACTGCAATGTCACTATTATTTTATACTCAGTACCTACGGTGCTTTGTTTATAAAGTTGATTATTCATATATCTCCTAATCTTCCTTCTTGGTCGGGTCTGAACTCATAGTCACCCCTAATTCCTTCAATTTTATCCCCAAAATTTGTTGGTTTTGGGGTCAAATTTTTTATTTAAAAACCAATATATTATGAGGATGAAATTAAAGGGTTTAAGAGTAGGGTCCAACTGTGTGGGGGTAGTGTGCTTAATATTTAGTATTTATCGGAGTGAAAAAAGTACGAAATAAGAACCATCAATTTTGTTACATTTTGTTTAAGGGGACAAAAATTTACATTTTGTTTGGAAACAGCCTCTCTACTTTCGAGTAGGGGTAAGGTCTGCGTACACACACCCTCCCCAGACCTTACTCTTGTAGGATTTAACTGGGTTGTTGTTGTTGTTTGTTTAAGGGGACATTATAAATGTTCTAATTGGGGTTGGTGTCATTGTATAAATAATTTCACATTTTGGCTCGTCCACCGAAGTGGAAAATATCTTTTGGCCGTTCCATTCTCAAACAACTTTTTATGCGGTCCATTCCCTTTGTTCAAAGTTCAAACATATTGCCGGCGGGGGAGAGAGTGACAGATATAGATAGACACGATCAACTCCCTTCAGAACTTCTCAAAATCACTCTCCCTTCCCAATGCCGGAATTCTTGATTCCTTTCTTGCCGAAGTGAGACTTCTATTCCGAAAACTAGGTGATAAACCCTAGTTTCTCAATTCCGATTACTTGTTATATGTCGCGGCCGGCGATGGGCTGCAATTTCAGATCTCCGACCAATCCATCTACCGTCTTTCCCGATGCCCAGAATTTGCAGAGCAATGCCCGGTCGTGTCCAGAACGTCCGCTCGCAGCTGATTCAGCTTCTTCATTTGGCAGTTCCGACCTTGCGTCTTCAACCAGTGGCGGATTCAAATTTTCTTATGTTTCGGAGAAGTGCGCCAAAAGTTCTAGACCTAAGCCCAGGATGGCAAAGATTAGGAAACACTTGAAAAAGTCAGAGCCTGTTGGGGATGGCTTTGGGTATAATCCGTTCAAGCTGGGTCCAGAGAGCTCCGGTAGTGATTGTTCAGCTAATGGTTACGCTGGTGGCAGTCAGGGCAGTGATTGTTCTGGACTAAACATGAACCGTGGGAGTAATGGACATATTGAAAACTCAAAACAAGTGAGCGGGGCTGAGCATGGGGATGGGAATCCATTGTTTGTTTTTGGTGCTAATAAGAGCCAAACTTGTTCAATAACTTCAGAATTTGTGTTCGGAGCCAATCAGAGTAGACCGAGGTCCATGTCTAGTGTGGAGGCTGATGGCAATGTGCCTGAAGCTACTAAAAGTAGCTCAGTACCGAATTCAATATTTGAAAGTGCAGCACATTTACATTCCAATTTGGGGCAAAAAGCTTCTGGCAGGCAACCAGGCCCCTTCAAATGTGAGAAATTTGGGGTTGGTGAATCAGTTCTTCCTTCTAATGTAAGTACACTGCAACCTAACAACCTGGTTTCTAATAAGCATAGCAAGTCTATTAGCCTAGATAATAGTTCTGGTGACGGTAAGAGTTATTCGGGAGTGGATTTTAACTTTGAAAATCGGAAATTTGGTGCAAAACTGAGTGGTCCAACTACAAATTTGTGTTCTGGGAAGAAAGAATCCAGTGGAGGTGGCCGATCATCAGTCCCTGAAATGAATGAGACTGCTGCATCTATTTTTCAATCGCAACAAAGCTTTTCAACAGATAGTGGGCTGACAGGTTTTGTTTTTGGTGCTAAAGATGTAAAAAGTTCATTGTATTCTGATATGAAA